TTAAAATGAAATCTGATTAAAATGAAACTAGAGACTTCTTATGCCTATCCTTAGAGCCTATAAAACCTACATATACTAGGCATCGTCCTACCCCTAAAGTAAACGAACTTAATTTTTTCCGATAAAGATCGAAAATCATGTGACTGCGCACTCGATTGTCGGTAACGCTTGATTTGCTGACGACCTAATAGTTTAGGTAACATCACTAGTACAGGCAAGGAATTATTAAGCATTTAACAAATAAACAAAATCTGCAATCATCATTCTCCCCTCGTGGACCAGTATGTTCTTAGAATGCTATAAAAATAATGAATTTACTAAGCATATAATGTCATTTATGCTTTCATAAAGTATACTTACGAGATCTCGATGAATAATATTTTTGTTATGTAAGAACAAAAGACCTTGCGCTATTTCCTTTGCAATACGATACTTATCGTTCCACTTTAAATCTTCAAAATGCTTTTTTAAATATTCTCGCAAATTTCCGCCGTTAGCATATTGCAAAATTAAAACGTAATGATCATCGAAGGGGTCTACTTATGTGTAAATTTTTTATATGAAAAGATGCACACTTTAATATTGTACCTAAAAACAAGCTTGAAAACAACAGACATGGATGTAATTTTAAGCTATGACCCGGATTAAACTTAATTTGGCCAAATTTTAAAATTACATCCCTGATCGTTATTAAAGTATATTAGTAAGTTCATTTAGCTTGCCTTTAGTTATGCCGTATAAAACATTTATATTTGGATGCAAACTTGCTGTTCGTAAAAGCTGAAGCTGTACAAGAAAAAAAAAAGCAGAAAAATCAAGTAAATTTGCAGGTTCATAATCTTTTTCCGATAGTAATATTTTATATACCTCATTAACAAATGCGTCAAAATTGGCATTAAATTTTAAACTTTTAAATGCAACGGTTAAACCATAGCCTTTCCAATCAGCCTTTCGTATTGTTCCGAACCCTCCTTCATTAGTTTTTTCCACGTTTGTAAATTCATTATAATCAAGGAAAGTTATGCGTTCTTCGGAAATGGATTCTTCCAGCCACGTTTGAGATTTTCCTAAGGAGCTCATGTATTGTTTCTTATAATCAAGTATTTTTTTTGTCTCAAAATTAGTACTCGTTTATTTTTGGACAAAGTTTGAATTTTTATCACATTCAAAAAAGGAAAATTATGATTGCATAATATTATAATAAAATTTATATTATTGTTTGGCCAGATGACGATTATTCTTTTAAATTTTTTGTAAATATTTTTTTTCTTAATATTTCACCTTAACGAATTATTATATGGTTACAAATATCATACGGACATTACATAATTTTTATTGTAACAACTATTATCGGAATGACTAGAACACTGATTTTAACATTTCAATTAATAACACGAATCTTTGTGAAAATTTAAACTCTTGTAGGCTTTCACTTGTTAATATTTTGGAATAAACAAGTACAAAGGGATCAACAAGAACTCTAATTTTATTTCGATATAAGTGTCGCTGAATCAGGAATATAGGCTAGTGCAAGTTCAAGATAAGTTCAAGATTTACAATGATAATTTTAAAGTTTGAATTTTATTTAAAATGTCAATAATTGACGTGTGTTACGCAGATATCATACAGGATAAATGAAGGTACATAAGGTCCGGTGAACTATTTTCATTTACACAAAAAAATTAAACTAATCAAAATTCGACAAGTTTCGCCAACCATAGCTTTACTAATATGGATATTTTTAATTGTAAAACGAAACAACTTATCGTTATCAAAACATGTTTGAATAGAAACAGAATGTTGGTTTATTAATAAATGATCAGTTGACTCCTGTCTAGAAGTGCAATGTGTAACTTGTCGTACTTGCAGTAACTATAGTAAGTTACGGCTAATAATGCCGTAATTTATTATCTGTTATCTATTGGATGTCATGAAATAGATTAATGAATAAATCCAATAAACAAATCGTTGGACAAGTATATAACAATAATCAATAATATAAATTAAGGAAATTTTATTTACATGCATGCTAATTTATTGTTTAAGGGTAGAGTATACGTAGATCATTTATCATATGATATGCATGGCAATTTTTTGTGTAACAGATTACATAGTAAGCACAAATCTAATTGGGTAATTACCTGTTTTAGGGGACGTCTAAAGTAGGGTGTCCAGGATTATGCGATGCGAAATTATGTGCATAATTGGCTATTTTTTCGCATCGCATATGCTTCGCATAATTAAGAAAAAAAGGCATAATGCACGTGGGTGGTATGTGATTGGTGGAAGTAGTGTTTGGCAGGCGAGTGTTCCGAAAACTTCTGGTGCAGAAAGTCTGGAATATT